GCAGTGGCAGTGCCCCACAGATCTTTGCGATTTAAAGCTCTAAGTGACACTGTAACTGTTATGGACAGGCTTGTACCTTACCATCAGGCGCACGACTTGTTCGTACCGTCACTTGATATTATATATATATTAATTTGTTTAGGAAACATAAATGGCGGGACTTGAAACTTAGGCACGTTGTAAAAATGAAATTGTTGAGTATAGAACTGACCAACGCTTACGCTTAAAATAAAAAGTGTGCTTATGTGCTTATTTGAACAAGCAAACTTTATTAATCGCTTTTCGTTTCAACACCCACCTCTAGTTATAAGAGTCTAAGCACAAGTAACTTGAAAACAAAATATCATATAGATAACGTAAAATTTACAATGTACCGATAAAAGGTTTTTATACCGGTAACGGGCAAAAATAACACGTCGTAAATGAGGACGTCGTAAAGAAAGGCCAGGTCAAGAGTGACCTTAACTGCCGTGCATGTATGGAAAGCATTTATCGTTTTGATGAGTCGAAATATATGTGTAAGTAGAAGGTTGTAATATCTGCCTACCCCGATGGGAAAATGCATGTAAGCCCGACACAACCTCCACGTCTGGCGGCCCAAACAGGCTAAAGCGGACTGGGGGTAGCGTGGCTGCTAGCTAGTACGAGCGGACTACGTGCGAGTTTACGTTTTTAATTTGTATTATTAAAACAATGACACATTTTGAAAATGTACGTAGTATAAGTTATAGAAAAGATGTAGTGCAATTATTATTCAAAAACTGATGACCTTCCGTGAAGTATTTACGCCGTAGTAAGGGTTTATTTAGTTTTTTAGAGATAACTTTGTTTGTTGGTTTGCTTACCGGGTTCATAGTTTGCCACCCAGAGGTGGAATATTTCTTGTAATTTCAAGTGACGGGACGAACAAGTCGTGCGCCTGGTGGTTAGCGACACGCCAATCCAAAACAGTTGCTGTGCCACTCAGAGCTTTAAATCACAAAGATCTTAAGGGCACTGTCACAGCGCCCGTCACCCTGAGGCAAGTCCCATGTGCCAGTAATTTCTCCAGCACCCTTACCCTTCTAAACCGGAACACAATAATGCTGTCATTACTGCTTTATGGCAGAAATAGGTAGGGTGGCAGTACTAACCTGGACGAACTCTTTCACAAGGAGCTATACTGCTGCTAAAGGTACTCTCTTTCCAACAAAAAACAATAAAAATTAAAAGATCATCCTTCTTTTTTTTTGAAGTCGGTTAAAAACTGGCAAGAAGCACTAAAGAAAAAATGATAATTGTTTTTTTTTTTTAATTAGTTGAGTTGTTCCGCTTTCTATTAAAAATGGGTCAAAATCCAAAACATCAAACTTGACGCGCTCCTGACATCAACAGATAATTTTCTGGTTTATTTATATCAACAATTATCATTTTGCTGACAATAATACAAGGCGAAATCGACCTTCCGTTTGTTTAAAATAAACATTACTTTACATTATTCAAGTAGTTTGTTATTCACTGAGAGAGGTCATTAGTTCTAATACGACAGCCAAACAAGTACTTTATTTAATGCAAATAACTATATAAGCCAACTTAGGTATACATAGAACACAGGACTTGTTTAAAGACAGAAAGAAATACATCATGTAATTAATATATAATTATGGAGGAGTATATATTAAAGCGGATAGCATAGGTAGGATTGGGAAAATGAGATAATGTGATTTTTTTAACCGACTTCTAAAAAAGGAGGAGGTTTTCAATTCGACTTGTTTTTTTTTTGTATGTATGTTACGCGATAACTCCGGTATTTGTGAACCGATTTTCATGATTCTTTTTTTGTTGGAAAGAGGGTACCTCCATAGTGGTCCCATTTCATTTTGAAACGTCGGTTTGTTTGAAAAAACAAATATACGCGATTTCAATCCGGAAAAATAGTTTAATTTCCTATGTGTAACAATCGCGAAAACCTAAGAACTCGAAACATTATTCTAGTTAGTGAATTAATGAAAAATATAATAAATGTGTAATTATTAGAATTCTATTGATATAATTATAGATAACAGTTAAAAATTGCGCTATATTGCCTCTCTGTAACCCTGCCTTTTGACGCACACATCGCGCGTGTGCAGATAGCGCCTTGCTGTATGTAGTAGTAGAAGGGAAATAACTTTCGACCGTCGTATGGAGTGTCCGGGGTGTCTCTCTACTGCTACTAAATGTATGTAGTAGCAGTAGAGTAAGTATGTAGTGTGGTGTCTGTGTGTATGAGCGAAAGTTATGTTCTGCGACACGTGTCTTGGGACATTAGTTGGGTGTTAGTTGCTACATATATACACAGAGCAATAAATACAGTAGAAGTGCTTAGTTTGCGTGGTACGTGTGCCAACAGTTCGCGGAGCTCCGTAAACTTCTAAGTCCGCCATTTTCGCATCGTACGCTTCAGTTATCTCGCACAAAACTTCAAAAATCGTAGAGAAATGCCTTATTTCGCTACTTTGGAGTGCCAAAATGATATTCTTCTTTAGTCTTACGAGTATTTTAATTAATTTTATTAAATTTTCTATTTATCGTAATAATTATTTTGTTACAAAAGACGAAAATAAACCTTACGCCACTGCACTATGGTCGCTTCTTTTTTGGAGAGCTAAGTAAACATCTCGAATTAGTTTTGTCGTTCATTAACCGCTAGATGGCAGCACATTGCTTATTTCAATATAAAACGAAACGTCGTAAGTTGCAGTAATAGTTATTGAACTTTCGACGATATGCCAACAGGGTTATTATTAGAATTTGTTATTTCTTTTTAAATTTGAAAATAATTATCAAGATTTCATAGTGTTTCAAATTCTGAATGTGTGAGTTTTGGCGACAGCGATTCTGATAGTAATCGAGGCTTCCATTGTATTTGTTCTTCAGTGACTATATCCATTAGGAAGTATGTGTAAGAGGTTTAAAATAGTGCGTGTGAATAAGTTAAGCAATGTGTGCTTATCTCGTACGGTGTTGCCAATTAGAAATGCAAACAAAATTCAAAAAGCTTCAATCGAAACAAGATTTTTTTTGGGACGAGACTTTTATAGATAGAAGGTAACAACGAGCATGCAGCTGTCCTGCTAAATATTTAGGTTTTCCACTTTCCACGATTTTTTTTTGTATGAGACTTTTTGTAGCGTACATTGTTCTTATACTTGTCTTTTCAGTTTTTTATTTATTTATTTATTTACTTTTCATTTTTTTAAACAATAATGTGTAAATTTCTTTATCAATATACATATTGTATAGTGATAACCTTTGGGATAGTAATTACATTACACATTGACTCTAGTTTTACAAAGGTTTATATTCTATTTAAGTTATAGTTGTTTTTAGCATTTATTTCGTTTCTAAATTTGTTTTAACATACTAATATTAATTATAGCTTCGTTGTTGTACATTGCATTTTTTTTCTTGTTTTTCCTTTATTTTATATATTATGCATAATATATTTATATCTATCCTAATAACTACATTTGATTTTGTTTTTACATATTTTTTAGACTTTTCTTTTAATACAATCAAAAATGACAAAGAAGTATATAAAACAATATACTGATACATTTAACTTTCTTAACGCTAGTTTGTCTTATTCCTATTTTTTACATTTTTGCTATATATGTACAGAATTTTATGAAGTGCGGTCTATCTTTTTTACTGGACAACATTTCGCAGAATGTAGCCCCACAACGTTCCACGACGTTAGGGCTGTTCACAAAACGCGAGCACGGAGTTCACCATTCCTGGCCAAGGGCACATCGAATTCGACCATTATAACCAGATTGAAAGTGGTTTAAATGACAATACTGAGCGGACTGTCTTCCGCTTTAAAGATACACAACACTTATGGACGCGGAAACGGATTGAGTCGGTCTAAAAAGTTCGTTCGTATCTAGTGTATAGTTCTCGTGTATAGCTTGAAACACACTGGTAGGTGCTGGTCGGACGCGTGTCGGGTTGTGTGCACGGCGGGTGTAATTCTGTGTATTTACCAGTGAAGACCCGACCTGCGTATTGCGCCCGCGCGTAGTGTGTTGTCATCTTTATAAATACACGGAATTACACCCGCCGTGCTCCCGACCCGACACGCGCCCGACTCATACCCGTTCTCAGTGGGAATCACGCTTAAGTGTTCGTTTGAAAAAAAAATTAGTTATTTATTGAATTATTTATTAACACAAAACAATCTTAGAAGATAATGCACATACGTTGACCATACAAGGTGTCAAGTCGCTACGGGTATATTAGCACTAAAAATTTAGAGTTAACCAATGAAATACAAAAAGTTATTATAATTAAAAAGGTAAATTTACAGCAATAACTACTTATAAGTACAGGAAAGGAAAAGAAAGAAAATAGTAACTTCTATGAGATAAAAAAAAAGTAACAAATCAAATTAACACTTATTATGTAATTTTGTCATGAAATCATGATTAAATAAACGCTAACAAAATTTACCTAGTACTTATTCTTTGCAAACGAAAATAAAATTTTTGAAAGTTAATCAAACTGAAGTGAAACAAAACAATTAGGTACTTTCTTCGTTAAGATGTCATAAATATGAATTACAAACTTGAAAATAAAATTTCCTATTTTGTTTCTTTTTACAAAATCATGCATAATTACTGGTTTAATTTAATTTATCTTATATTATATGTATGTATCTTTGCTGTAATGTAGTTTGCGCGCCAATTTTCGTAATCAGGCCGAATAGTTTGGCCGAACATTCGATGGATCGAATATTCGGTATTCGGCCTGAACGCGAAATACTATTCGTTGCAACACTAGTTTATATAGATAATGCGGGTTTTTTTTTTCAAATGCGGTAGCACCCCCTGATCGGCATCAACGCCATTCGATTGCTTCCGAAGTCCCTACCGCTCTAGGACGCTTCAGCACCCACTGGGCAATAGGCACTTTGGGAAACTATGGTTTAGATGTTCTGAAGATTATAATACTAAACGAATGAATGTTGTTTGTTCCAGGCTCATATCAGCCCAGCAATGAGCTGATGCTGCGTTTCTATAGCTACTTCAAGCAGGCCACGGCGGGACCTTGCGACATTCCCAAACCAGGGTTCTGGGATGTCGTCAACAGGTAAAATTCCATTATTCTTATAGTTTTATGTAATCCCGTAGCTAGATAGAGAGAAGAGGAAACCGGTATTGGTAGGGGACTACGACGAAAAAAGAGGACAGCAAATCTGCCCTCCTTGTCACTGACGCATTTTCATTTCGGTAACTTCGATAAATCTATTCGAATCCATAAATTGAGAGAGAGAGCCGTGTTTTTTTTATAATATAAAGTCACGGGACGAACCAGTCGTGCGCCTAATGGTAAGCTATACCATGCCTGTCCATGACAGTTACAGTGCCACTCAGCTCTTTAAAGGTCACAGCTCATTAGAGCCACTCGGCACCCACTCCGCACCGCCTCGCCTCGTGCGGTTAGTATTCTTTATATAGAATTGTATGGGTATGCGCTCACTACATCAACTCCGTAGCGTCGCCGGATCGCCTCGGTCGTAAACCCTCCATGCGCGGACGGCGGGTGGACCACTCGGTAACAACTCGCTGCTCGCATGCTTGCCTTGCGCATTGCCAACGCGCGGGACCAAAGCGGACAGGATGTTATAAAACACACAATGCGGCATATGATAGTATGAAAAAAAATTTCCTTCGTCGGCTAACAAATGCCTACGAGCGGTCCAATATTCGCCCTTTTTTTTCTTTGTTTAAACATTTCGTGCACCCAATAAGCTTTCTTTTTTTTGTTGCGTCTTTCATTTTCTTCTTCATCAAGTGCGACAGCTATGAGTGCCAATTCAAGGTTTGTAAAATTTGACATTACGAAACACACGTATAGACCTAGTGCCAATTGTTAACAAACTACTCAAAAATTGGTGGACCGCTCGACGTCCACTGGTTGACCGCGCGACATTTTGGCGATAACACGGCGTCCACCCGTGGATCACCTGTCGACAACGAGTGGACGCCGCGTGGTCAACGAGTGGACGCCTTACGACGAGGCGGTGCGGGGTGGGTGCCGGGTGGCTCTAATGAGCTGTGACCTTTAGTCTGAGGAGCACTGCCACTGTGCCCGTTATCCTCAGACATAACTTGGCAAGTCCCATGTGCCTGTAATTTCACCAGCACCCTTACTCGTCAAAACCGGAACACAGTAATCTTCACATTACTGCTTGGCGGTAGAAATAGGTAAGGTGGCAGTACTTCCCTGGACGAACTCTTCCACACGAAGCTCTACAGCTACGTGGTCGTATTACAGTTTATGTTTCCTACTGATATACATTTATGATTGTTTCAGAGCGAAATGGGAATCTTGGAACAGGTTGGGCAACATGACAAAGGAAGAAGCCATGCAGGCTTACGTTAGCGAGTTACACAAGGTACTTGACATAAATGTGTTATTTTTATTAGTACAGTATAACATCGTAACGTTTGAGAGAGCGATGCCACGGTCGCTGCCGATGCGTTGCGTCGTTGCAACGCTATGATTTCAACGCACGTGAGACTCAGAACTTTAAATCGTAAAGATTGTGCACTGCCATTGCACCCATGTCATGTAGTTTCACTAGCACCCGTACCTTTCAAAACCGGAACTCAGTAATGCTCAGAATACCGATAGGTGGCAGAAAGAAGTATGTATGTAAACTGTTCGTTGGGTGCGTGTAATTCTCCATAAAACCATCTAAAAGCGATGCCATACGAGCGCTGCGCGCCGTTTCAACACACGTGTAGATATGTAGTACGACACAGCATGTGCCTTCGCTCTAAGGGAGATGCCACACGAGCTGTTTCATCGCACCGTGTGGCTTGTCGTTCTGATTTATATGTAGTACAACGCAGTTGCGACGACGCAACGCCGACGCTACGCCCGTGTGGCATCTCCCTTAATTCCTAATTTTTAAAACGCGGCGTTAATATATTACCGTTAATACCACGTATATTCGGTGTTCACACCTTTAAGGCGGAATTTTTTTACGCAGTGATTCAATTAACACCCTACATACAATTTATATGTGCAGTCACCGGGCGGTGATAGCCCAATGAGAGAACAGTTGTTTCTCAATTAATAATAAAAATAATGGTTTATTTTCTCAACACAAAATATATACACTTATAATAGACTAACAATTTTAAATGTATCCCTTGAGAGAGCCTGGAGACTGTAATAGGCAACTAAACCCGTATTACAACTCACCAGGCCCTCACCCTCTCAGAGCAGTCTTAAGTAAAGCCAAAATAATCTTAAAAGAAAAATAAAACCAATATACTGTTGAACACCTTACCTATTTCTGCAGCCAAGCAGTAATGTGAGCATTAGTGCGATCCGGTTTTGAAGGGTAAGGGTGCTGGTGAAATTACAGGCACATGGGACTTTTGAACTTGTGTCTCAGGGTGATGGGCACAGAGGCAGTGAACCTCAGATCTTTGCTATTTAAAGCTCTGAGTGGCACTGCAACTGTTAAGGACAAGCATGTCGTCAAAATGCGTAAGTTCGAGTGTACGTAGATGAGAAGAAAAGTCGCCGGCGACTCGAATCCTGCGTCCTGATTTTGATTCAGATGGGAATAGAATCGTAGTTTCGAAATCAGATGGGCTTCTGAGCGAGAAGATGAGCCTGATTCCTGCTATATCTTTCTAATTTATGAGTTAAATCAACTATTGTTCCGATTAGAAATATCAAAAGTTTCCGACCGGCCAGTTGTGAATCGCAGTTATGCGCCTCGACTCGGAAAAGACGCAGTTTCGGGAGACGCAATCAAAATCAAGCTGCTGGAATCGCATTAACCTCATTCATCGTCACCACACCTTTTTATCACCCTATTTACTGGTACCCGAGTGGTCTATTACCGTTCTCAGTCCGAAACAATTACTGTGAAATAAATAACACTCCACCAAATTCAAAAGAAAATGCTTAATAAGCTGCTACCGCTTATGGGATGGCTCTGCTAAATACCTACTGGTCACCTTGGATTCAATCGACAAGCGTGTCAAGAGGCGTATTGGTGACTCGGAGTTAGTAGTGGCGATGCTGCAGAGCCTTGAACACCGCCGTAAAGTTGCCTGCTTATCGATATTCTGTACAGGATGTATCACGGATATATTGATTCTGCCTTCCCCTTTCTATCATTGGGGGACTAGACGTGAGCTGGGGTTGCACCCCTATGTTGTGGATATTCCCAGAATTCGCACAAAGCGTTTCGCTTCCACGTTTGGTTGGCGAACGGCTAGGGAGTGGAATTCCCTGCCTGCGTACTTGTTCCCCGAACGCTATAACTTGGATCTTTTCAAGGCGAGGGTCGATATGGAGTCGATAGGCATTATTTAGGTGTGCATGCTACATCATCGACCTCATCGTCACTTTCCATCAGGTGAGACGGAGGTCAAATGCGCACTTATTTTTTATTTAAAAAAAGTATGATGCTTCTTTCGCATCATTAATCTTTGCGGTTATACATATTATGATTTTACAATGTTTTAACTCCTTTTCCGTTTTAAGCCTTATGGCTGGTTCCACAGCTGTGCGTACGGACCGTACGGACAGTCCGCCTGCGGGCCAACCGCATGCGTAGAATCCGCAGTGCTGCTGCCGTAGTCGTCTCAAAACTCGCGTCTGCGGGTTTGAGGGGGCCGTTCGAGGCGTCGGCCTCTTTCGGCGGGGTCAATCGCCGCTCGTGGAGACGAGCGGGTCCTGGGGTTGGGTATAACCCTTGGGTGTCGCAATAGGGTGAGCTGCTTCAGATGGGAGTCCCTGCCGGTGGTCCGGCAGGTTTCTCAACCATCTTCAGCAGCTGGTGTCTAGTCCGGTGGGGCTTCCTCGGGCCCAAGTAGGTCCCTTGGAAGCAGTTTCTCGTCAGGGTGTTGGGCTCGGTGTAGTGCCAGTCCCTGTATATGGCTATACAGGGATTGTCCGGCGCGCCGGAACATGGTCTTGGCCAGGCGATCGACGAAGCTGTCGAGGCTCTCCATGCTCAAGTCCCGTTGGATGACGTCATTTCTCACATATCGTGCGGCGTCTGTGATGCACCGCAAGGTCAGCGACTGTTGAGCTCTGAGTCGTTGCCTGTTGCACTCTCCTACCAGCGCGTACCATGCTGGGGCTGCATATGTTAGGCGGGATCTGATGTACGTCTTATACACTCCGAGTTTCACTCGTAGTGGGAGTCGGGACTTGAGAACCCCTCCGCAGTGCTCTGAATCGAGTATTCAATTTATAGTCTATTGAAGTTAGCGATCTAGTACCGAGAAAACACAGCTGCACGTGATTGGTTACACTAAAGCCGTATTCATAAAGGCAGGCAAGTCGGCTTTTACATTGTGCTGTGTGGACGTGTGTTGTTTTCTCTGTTTACTACTTATCAGTGACTCTTTCCCTGCTACCTTGGCTTTCTTAATGGACTGATGAATGAACTTACTCAGACACTCGGTTTAAGACATTGAGTGACGTAAAATGTGAGATTATTGAAAAAAATTATAATAGAAACGTATAAAAATATTTTTTTTAATTTATTTTTAAACACCTTTATGCACGAGCCCTTAATATTTTAATGCTTGTTAACGCCCACTTAACCTTGTGCCTCCATCTTATGTCCTTCCATCTTATGTCCTTGTCATTTTTATGAAGTAGCGCGAGAGGAGCCTATACTAGATCGCTAACTTGAACAGACTATACTGGAAGACAGTCACCTACAATGAACGCACGGGTGGCATCCGCGGAGTTCACGCAGTGTGTTCCGTACGGAGCAATCCATGTCACTGTGTTACTCCGCTCCGGTGCTTCGTGACGGTCCGCAGATAAATCCGCACTGCTCTGAAACCAGCCTAATAGGTTAATGTATGTGATTACAGTATGTGTGTATTGACTTACCTATATCTTACTGGATCTTGCGAGGGCGCTCGCATATCGTTTATTTTTAGAGTAAATTGAATTACTTTTAATGAAATGTGATAATGAAAATTTTTAAATTTTAAATAAAATTCTTTTAATTGAATATTTTTATTTAATCTAATAATCATAAACGTGTGAAATCACATAGCATTATTCGAAATAGTACCTGCGTCAGAATAATACTTGTTAAATGTTGAAGTCAAGGATTTAACGTAAAATAGTTAATTTTGTTTAATGTTTTTGGAATAATATACTTTAAATATTTATTAAATATTTTATTAATTTGTTCACACTAGATACACTTATAACTGTATGTATATATTGCAAAGATTATGTAAGTATTTAGTCGGTATAAGAGTACACACTGCAATAACACGATATACACAGAAGACATATTACGTAGTTTATTTTATTTTCTGTTTCGAGACGCATCCGTCTGTCGTTCACTCGGTTAGGGCCCATTGAAAACCAGCGTCACTGCCTAGTCTTGGTTGCGACTTTAGCTGAATTTCCTTCCTTTCCCTTTTCTTTTGCATAAGCCACAGCCGCACACATGTCAGTATGGTATTATACAGTGTGTTGATTTGCGTTCTCGGCATATTTAAGAAATTAATAATAGAAATAATGCTAAATCATCTAAAATAATTAAAAAAGAATCTGTTCAATATTCTGGCTAATTGTATCTAGTAAAGTTTTCCAAAATTGTCTGGAAGTCATGTGCACCACGCAAGGGCAGTCACCCCGCCACCCGCTTCCCCGAGCGATACTTAATCTATCTCGATCGCTCATTTACCTATTTTTTAAATCATGTTTATGTACCAGTATTGTTATAATTTACTAATTATTTACATTAGTTAGAAAAGTTGACTGAAAAAAAATTTTTTATAACTTAGATTTGGTACTTACCAACTTTAGGTTATATGAAAGTAGTGCTAGAAGTACTTAGCTCTTAGCTGGTGGCAGGCTCCGGCAGGCTCAATACCGGAGCCAGATATGCAGAGTTTCGTTTCAACTTAGCATATTCTTCATAACAAAAAAAGCAGAAAGAAACCAGGGACAACTATTTTTGGGGAAACTATTTTTGCGCGCAATTCCTCGACTCTCGTAATATGCGTAAATTAGACGTTTCACATCATGACATAAGATCGCACTTGATGGTAAAGCACATGGTAGCGGTTTTTTTTTGCACTAACTCTTGTTTACATCACACACAAACCACGTTGCATTTCGTGAGAAACTAGAACGTAAGCCCGATGTCAGCGGGAACGTAGACGCAATAAGCTAGGTCAACTGATGATGATCTACCAATAGTACCAATCACGCGCTCGATACGATACTCCCCCCGTCTCTACTCGTTTCCTGCCACCAAATAGATCTAAAATGCATATTCTGCGCATAGGTCATTGTTCAAATGGTTGCCTGTACCTGTGCCACGTGTAGTGCGAGTCAATGACCTATGGATCAAACGTGGTTACCACAATTAAATAAGAATTAAAAATATGTAAATATCTCTGTAAATATGGCGAGAATGCAAATCAACACATTGTATAACCTGCTGTTTAAATGTTGTTACGTTGTTGATTTTTTGTTATTTCTCTTTTTTGTGTGCCTTTTTGTATAATGTGGCGTTGCAATAATTTTTTTTTGTAGTTTCTATTTCTATTATATTTCTATTTCTTATTTACAGATAATAGAAACCATGTCATACAACCAGGACGTAGCGTCGTTTCTATCCGTGGACGACGATGACTCGGGTATCCCCAACAACGATCTGGAACTAGTCGCTGGTGACGTGCTGGCTAGAGTGCGATCTGAACACAATACGCCTACATGTAAGTACATGTTTTATTGAAATCGGTTAAGGGAAAGTGAGTGACATCCAGTAAATCGGAGCCATCCATTAATTTGCCACCTTTAGAGGTGGAATATTTTACTACACTATTGAGGTCGGACCGGACCACCAACTACCCCCTTTCCAACAAAAAAAGAATCATCGATATTGGTTCACAAATGTCAGAGTTATAGCGTAACATACAAAGAAAAACATAGTCGAATTGAAAACCTCCTTTTTTGCAGTCGGTTAAAAAGTAAGTCGTTATGGATAAGAGAAATTAGAAGTAAGTCACGTTGTGTGTAAGAGAAGTTGTAAGTAAGTCACGTTGTGTGTAAGAGAAGTTGTAAGTAAGTCACGTTGTTTGTAAGAGTAGTTGGTAAGTATTTTAGAGAAGAAAGAGTAACTCGCCGATCGTAGTCGTCTCAAAACCAGCGGGTTTGAGGGGGCCGTTCGAGGCGTCGGCCTCATTCAGCGGGGTTGATCGCCACTCGTGGAGACGAGCGGGTCCTGAGGTTGGGTGTAATGTAAACGTATATGGCTATACAGGGACTGTCCGGCGCGCTGAAACATGGTCTCGGCCAGGTGATCCACGAAGCTTCGACAGCTCTTCTGTAGTAAATGTGTGGATGACAATTATTTGCGTAATCCCAACACTGATATTGAGTCAGACGCGGTGATGTGTTGGACTGAGTGCAATTTGTACACTATATGTCTATTTTTTTTAAATTGGCCTGCTGTGTCCCACTGCTGGGCAAAGGCCTCGCCTCTTGACTTCCACAGTTCCCTGTTTGACACAATGTTAGACCAGTCCTTTGCATATGCGTCCAAGTCGTCCCAACATCTCCTTCTTGGTCAGCCTCGTCGTCGCTGGCCGTTCTCAACCACCAAGTGGCTGTGTGAGCCTATCTCTGTAGATGCATGCGACAAACGTGTCCAGCCAGGCTGCAATGAAATATGTCTATAGGAAGTGAAAATATTTTTTCGTATTAGTTTTTTTCAAATAAACCAACGTTTCGCGCCCTTTACAGGTTTCGTGGTCACGAGGGACTGAGATGGTAAAGTCATCAATAAGTTGTCTATGAAAATCTGATGACAATACAATAATATGGTAACCATGCTCTCATGTTGCAACCAGGACAGTCTGCAGCCTACCCTAACTCCTCATTCCTCAACTACTAACAGTAGATCCACCGTGTTTGGCCTTATCAAATTTCAAAACTAAATTCTTGGTTTACGGATAGTAGATTACATTGTCAAAATTGAAATTTTCTTCTCCAGGTTCTCCATCAGCGAGTGGCGCGTCGTCTCCCGCCCGCGGCCGGTCCCCCCCGCCGCGCGCACGTCACGACTCGGAAGAGGAGTTCATTGACACCGTTGATGTTAGTATAGTACGTATAAGGTTCACTTTTCTTTGCACTAACAATTTTCTTTCGGTTGTGGTGTTGTTACTAATGCTTTTTCTTGGTTGCTTTTTTATTATACGTTTTAGCTGTAATTGTTTTTGTCAGGTGACAAAAAAGTTTGGGAATGTCTGTTTTCGGTTCTTCTGTATAAATTTTAAAAGCTACTGGAGAGCTCACCGTATGAATTACTAAAGTTTGTTTGGTCGATCGATGCTCGTCGATAAGTCGAAGTCGTCGATCGATAGCATGGTGTGTTAACGCGCTGCGTTGTACTACATATAACGCTTCATTCGCCTGAATGAATGGAAATACAGCCCCCCCACATAATTTACATTATTAATTATTATTTAAATATTGCCAATTACTCCCATGTGTTGAACCGTATTAAAAATGTTCTCCTCGCCTTTTTCCAATAATTTTTATATATCAATTTGTTTGGTTTTATTATTTCGTTGATTAAATTACTACGCGGAACTGTCAAAATGTTTTAAAATCAGCTGTGACCTTGTTTGGCACCGTGTTTATCTTTTGAAGTCATTTTTCGCGGCGTTCGCGATGACATGAAAATGTAACGTCATGGTGCTCGCCATGTTAGCTATTGTGATAAAATTTTAAAATGTTTATCACTCGAATTTGACAGCTAAATGTGGATATAATAGCTTTGTCGAGGCGGCATACTACGTGGGCCGGGGTCGGTAGGCATGTCGCTTATCACCCGTCACACGTCCTATTCATCCTGTCACTTGATATCATTGTCTATAGAGCGAAGCAGAAGCAGCAGCCGAAGCGGCAGCAGCGGAGCGAGCCGTGAGGGAGCGAGCGCCGAGGCTGAGCAACGGACATGCGCACCAGATCACATCGCAGCTCACGCGTTAGTATAGTAATAATAATTTTACAAAGTCCCATTCATTTAAAGGCAATGTATAAGCTTTTATGATAAGATTCCGGTTGATATTCAAAATTTGTCATTTAACAAAAAAACTATAGTCAAACAAAAACTTTATACTAAATATTAAAAAAAATACTGGGTAAAACGTATACAACAATATTTTGTTAGTTATTACTAACATTTAATAGAATATAATTTTAGTTATAAGAAAGCCGACCTCAAAAATTCGTGGAATTATATCTATTTGGCCAAATTTTATTGAAATCGATTACCTGAAAGTGCGCGAAACCGCATTCATCCCCTAGTTTGCCACCCTTAGAGGTGGAATGTTTTCTTCGAATTTAAATTGGTCCAATATTGAGATACCCTCTTTCCAACAAAAAAGAATCTTTAAAATCGATTCACTAATCCCAAGTTATCGCGTAATATACATACAAAAAAAAAAGTGCAGTCGAATTGAGAACCTCCGTTTTTTGAATTCGGTTAAAAATAAGATTAACATCAAAGTCACTCTATGGTTTCTTTGTTCTAAATGTTACAATCGTTTGTGGTTCGAACATCGAGACTCGATGGGTTCGAACAATTAAAACTGTCTTTTGCGTGAAGTTAATTAAGTTTTCAAGTAAAATGAAAGACCTGTTTTGTTGAGTCCACTATTATTGCTTTCAGACCTGAAAGTGTTGGAGCAATTGCCTGGTACCCTGGCGAGGTTGGAGGCTGATGTAGCGGCGCTCAGGAAAGCCGTGGAAGGTGATCGTAGATTAATCGATGTAAGTAACAGTGTCTAACTTAACCTTCACATTTAATATTAAGTTACGAGTATTTAATATTACGATGTTTTACTTAAATTATTTTTGTGAAATTACTCCAATAGTTTACAAGCGTGCTTACAGATGCAAATGCGCCTGTTTGCTGCACACGTGCACTACGTCGCGCGATTTGTTTAATAATAATAATAACGCACACACTCAACATAGCCCCGTACTAGGGAAACCCTGTGTCGCGGGTGCCATGGACACACATAGACAACCACAAATTACACCCAAATTTACGAGGGAAATAAATGTAGGCCATATAATTATTTCTCCCAACCCGGGAATCGAACCTAGAACCTCTGCGTGGTATGGTTACCGTCCGGCCACGGAGGCAGCGCGTTCGCGGCAAATTCGCCAGATCTGTACGCGCCCTTATAATTATTTATACAAAGATCGGATACAAAAAAATTCCCTTGACGTATCTGGACACGAACCAGCCACTTCGGCATACCGTGGCTGACGCTGCTACGTTTGTATTAAGTTACACTCCTTACCTATTTCTACTGCCAAATAGTAAATATGAGCATTACAGCGTTCTGGTTTGGAAGGGTAAAGATAAAATTACAGGCACATGGGACTTGTCTCGGGCGCAGTGGCAATGCCCCTTAGATCTCTGAGATTTAAAGCTCTGAGTGGCACTGCCACTGTTATGGACAGGCGTGTCGCTTTCCGCCAGGCGCACGACTTGTTCGTCCCGTCACATGGTCTTATTAAAAATAATATGTGCTATGGTCTGCGCGCTCTATTTTGCGTGAACTTGTAGCATTTCACAGTGTCAAATATTGATCGTCAATGTCATTGACTTATAATAATTATATGGACGTCGGGACCGCGCTAAAAAGTGTCCGCACTTGTAAGGCGCTAAAATCATATACAGAGCGCCAAACTCCGCTTTAGTCTTCATTTGTTCGACTGACAGCGCGATACTGCGATGACATTACAATTTAAATTTCGAATAGGTTGACTTGGGACATTTTTTTCGTGGTTTTTGTATTAGACCCGTCGTCCATTTATTTGTAAGTCAATGGTCAATCTTATTAAATATTAAATCGACGCCTTACTTTCTCAAACTAGTACGTTATAAAAAGTAATTATTCAGGAGATGGCAAAACTTTATATTTATTTTAAATTTCTTATCAAGGGTGTTAATTTTCAGTAATTTTGTGCTTTGAGACACGAGTCTGAGACTAAGGCGACGATGTGTGAATATTTGGTAACACAAATCCGTAACAGTTGGGAGAGGCGATAGCCACAGTTTGGATTATTGTTCCCGGGTCTGTTCCGGCCGGATCAAAGGAATTTTTCTTTGTCTTTGTTCGATCCTTGCATACATAATAACTTATCTTTTTTTTCAACAGCAAGTGTCAGGCGGCTGGAGATGGCCATGGCAAGAACTGTCAGTACCGACCCTCGCATTGGTCGTGCTGTGGCCATTCCTTGCGTACCGCATCGCTAATAGGCTGCAACGCCGTAATACTTAACACGTAAGTATCTTTATCTTTTTCTTTATATCTGTCTTTCTATCATCCATTTGCACACTAATTTATCTCTTTATATTTATCGTGCTTTGTTCTCTTTTAGTCGTCCCTTTGATAAAATGGACGTATACGACGAATACATCAAGCTAAATATTCATCTTTTCGGAAACGGTTCGTGGGCTTTTAGAAAATATCTGAGGGGTCAATAACTAGAAAAAGATTAAGAAACCTTCCTTTTGGAGATTCTCTATATATCTAAATCAAAATTACGTGCAACATGCTCGCACGCAGGTTTTTTCGTTGTACTATAGGTGTGAAAATAACTCTATTTACAGCGTACTGTCAGAGTTTTTGTACGTGCTATCTTTGGTGTTGTTGTACAAAACGCACTTACAATACATTGCGAGTTCACTACAATGAGGGTTTCACAATTCTAAAGAAACTGCCTCGCTTCTGCGGTGCTTCGGGCATGTTCGCTGGAGTGGATGTGCCCGATTTCTATGTCATCATCAAAAGTTGTATAGCCTCGTTCTGGACTCGCCTGCGGCATAGCAAGAACTCAATATTGAGCACCCTAGTGGAGGACGTAGCCAGTTTCCATTTTTCGGCACTGAATTACCGTATACTGCACTGACAACATTAGATGATGGATAGTTTATTTTATTTTACATTTTTGTTTTTTTTTTCCATTGGAAAATTTTAAAGTTAATTTAGCTAAACTAAAGAATAACGTTGGACGTTCCCTTCTACAAATCCCGGGCCTTCTCGGAACTGAATATATTTGAATATATATATTATTTATTGAAACTTGACTCTATTCGCGACAAATCTTATTTTCTATTAAGTATTTGCTACAAATTATTGTCTCAAAAAATAATATTGCAGTCCATGATCTGTAGTTGGGTTTGTATAGGTACTTTGCGTATTTAAATACTTTAGCCATTTAAAAAATAAACATGAGGCAACCTATATTTTGGAATATTTATGCTGCGTCTATGGCCGAACGGTTACCATGCCGGACTGCCACGAAGAGGTCCCAGGTTCGATTCCCGGGCCTGGGGAAATATTGTATGGCCTCCATTTATTTATCTCGTGAGTTTGGGTGTAATTTGTGTTTGTCTATGTGTAGTGCGGGGCTATGTTGAGTGTGTGCGTTATTATTATTATTTAGAAATTAAACTGTAAAAAAATAAATTTTATACGCATTAATGACAAAATTGGTATGTCCATAGTGTGAAAACGTTCATAGTCTAGGTAGATTAACTCCCTGAATTTCGATCACTGGTAATCGTATTATTGTTTAATAATTTTGTTGTATTGGGGTTTTTTATGCCGGAAATAAATGTCTATTATTATTTTTTTTCTCACCAGGTCACGAACGACGGCACCACACTCATCTCTAGTTGGACGATAGCAAACACGAGTCATACGTTATTTACTACACGTGTATTATACATTGTCGGTACGTACAGCGTGTCCCTGATATAGTGGTCCAAACAGCATCTGTAAATTGTACTGATACTCCAAACTAATGTTATAAATGCGAAAATAAGTCTGTCTTTCCTGTTATGTTTTCACGCCAGAACCGTTGAACCATTTTGATGAATTTTGATGTATATTTCTCGTCAGAAGGACATAGGCTACTTTTTGTTACAAAAGTACATCTTGTGAGTCTATGCAACCTCATATAGCTTTGGTTGATTCCTCATAAAAGTCACTTTGGAAGAGATATGTAGTAAATTGAGGATATTCACTGATTGCTATACGGTGTGAAAACACAATTTCTAAAAATTTTCACGATCGAAAATAAAAACACAAACTTACCTTGATACATTTTTCAAATGGTTTTAATTTCGTTTGTAAAAAATAAATTCTGATATAAAGCCAGTGTCCCTGCCTGAAAATGCTGTTTGAAGAAGTCAATCTACGCAGACGAAGTGGCGGGCACCAGCTAGTAATCTATAACATTAAATAACATAACTTTTTTATTAAAAAAAAAACAAACTACCTTAAAGGTTTGCTTACAGGCTTTTTATTGGAATTACACCTAATTGCCAAGTTTTATTGAAATTTGTTAAAGGAAAGTGCGCGAAACTTTAATCCCTTAGTTTGCCACTCTTAGAGGTGGGATATTTTCTTCAAATTCAAATGGGACCAATACTGAGGTACCCTCTTTCCAACAAAAAAAGACTCATCAAAATCGGTTCACAAATGCCGAAGAAATCGCGTAACACATACACAATAAAATACAATCTAATTGAGAACCTCCTCCTTTTTTGAAGCCGGTTAAAGAGAAATACAAAACCAAATTTATTTCTGGTTCACTAATTTGTTATATTTATCAATACAAAGATCGAAAACTCGTAAAAATAATTGAATATCAATTGTAATATCTAATATCAGGGCTGGTAGCTGTAAAGATATCCAACTGGGTAACGAAATACTTAAGATTTCTCATAGATGGCGCTACGGCTAAAAAGTCGTTAAAACACCAAATACAAAGACACGACAATAAACACATAGAAAAATTCGTGAGGTCCGCTGGTTCGTTACGTGGCTTAGTTGGTATAGCGTCTGGCACGGTTTGCAAGAAGACGTCGGTTCGAATCCGGCCGGATCGAAGAAATTTTTTCTGAGTGTCCCATCTTTGTTTTAATAATTATAAATAATATGTATTTTTGTTCGCGGATAACCATATAAATCCTACCTTTATTCTTGTATTCGCTCCTCGTCTGACATGTTGGATGACGTCACCGCTGTTCTCTGCCCTTATTTCTACTTTTTGGAACTCCAAGAGGAGTCGAACTCGAACACGACAAAAACAGTTAATAATAAAAATGACGGATGAGTGAGAAGAAATGCACATATGCTGATATGTTTAATGAATGTCGTTTGTTATTAAACTTACCAAGTGACGTTTGGACTACTTAGTCAGGGACATGTAATAATCCGTGAGTCCCGTAATAAACGCCCTGGTATTCGAACCTACCCAGTTCGAATCCTGTCTGAAGGAATTTTTCTTTTACAATAATTAAAGACAAGTGGAGTAATTTCACAAGAATGAAATTAATTTCATGGTAGTACATCATTATATTCATTACAATAAATATTAAAAATTAATAAAGGGACATCTCAACATTATAATACCATATGGTTATATTTCCTGATTTGATCAATCTTCATCAAAATAATACGCTTTCTTTAATTTGCAATTGTACAAAAATGAGCTTATGTAAGTACTAGAAAAACCAACATTCCCAATTCCAAATTTCATTAAAAAACCGACTACAAAAGTTCGTGGAATTACATCTATTTGCCAAGTTTTATTGAAATCGGTTACCGGAAAGTGCGCGAAACCGGATTCATCACCTAGTTTGCCACTCTTGGAGGAGGAATATTTTCTTCAAATTTAAATGGGACTAATACTGAGGTACCCTCTTTTCAATAAAAAGTAATCATCCAAATCGTATCACAGACGCCGGAATAATCGCGTAACGTGCATACAAAAAAAAAATCGTCGAATTGTGAACCTCTTCCACTTTTAAAGTTGGTTAAAAACATTCCGAAGACTACATCCTCCTCTCTTATAAAATAAAAATCTTTTGTCGACTTCTGGCAGTTGTAAAAGTACCTGGTTGAGTGATGAAAAACTTTCATAGAATTCTCATACGTGGCGCTTTTTTTATTGGAGAATTTCCATCAATATAAACACTCAATTATTTTGAGCTACTTATATAATGAAGAATAATATTAACAAAACGTTTAAAAAAAAAGTTTAGTGCCAAATTAAAACTAAAATATATGATATGCTCGTGTCATATTTAAATTTTTATACTTTTAGAAAAAAACCTACTCCAAAAGCAACGGTACGTTTTTCATGCTTTTTTTTTCACCTCAGAAAAAAAACGAAAATTCTAAAGACTTGACCAAACGGGCTGACCATGAGACATGAGCAATTCTATGGTAACAAAAGATTAGTGAAAGTTTCTCGTCTCTATTATGGGCTCACGGTATTAGTGCATTATGAAGGAATTATTCACAATATTGATTATAAAACAACTTTTACAATTACAATTTAAAAATATAATTGCATTTCGAATTGTTTTAGGAAGGTTTAGAAAAGGGTATCTGGTATATTTTTAAGTTTCTTTTTTATATTCCGACGAAATTTTATAGTCAGTTCCCATGGTTCTACTGGTAGTAACATGGAGTATTTTTGGTACTAACGGTACCACTGGCGTCTATTAAATAAAGCCGCGGAGTTATGTTGCACTTGCACCTCCGGAGAAACAGTGAAGTGTGTACAGGCAACTAATTAAGTTTTATTTTATGTTTTTAGAGTACTTGAATAAATTGAAGTGGAATCTTTAAACGTCGTTCTAGAAAAATTATAATTTTGCTGATGTGGCCTTACACTAAGAGTGCGAATTATGTGTAGGTCAAGAGTATGTCAATCTTGACACTTCAGCTTTAAATGAAACTCTATGTCGCTTACCATAAGGACGCTCCAAAGGCCAAAGGTTGATGTGCTCTTGACTGAATTGTAAATATTATTCTCACTCAAGCGTTCAAATATTACACTAGCGTTGTCTTAAGGGTTAAATTCCATTTGAAACGCTTCGGCACTTGCGTCCATATTGAACGTGTTTTATATGAGGTACAAGTTAGCAAGCTGAATGCTGATACATGTTTGATGCCGAATAGTGATACTGTGGACAATGTTTTTTTTTTACAATAAATTGTGTTACTACCAGTAGTAACATGTGGAATATTTGCTACCATTGTTCCTACTGTGTTGGCGAATTGAATTTAAAAGAGCACCGTGTATGGTGTTATAGTAAGCTATAATCAATGTTATAATCATATTTTTTTTTATTAAAATGGCTGTTAATAAAACAAAAGTTGTAGTATTTGTTTGTTCAAAAAATCTCACAATTTTGCATTTTAAAAGATTGTTACCTGTTTTATTTTACTATAGTAAAATATATATTTTAATTAAATGTAGTTTTCATATATTTCCATTTCTATATTTTTCGTTAGATCATAAGCGGCAATTTAGGTTATATTGGTTAATTGTTAAATGTAATATTTTATGTGATATGTAGGTAATAAATGTGTAGTTTATTTTTTAAAAACAGAGTTTTCTTTATTTGGTGTTGTTTGTAAGATTGAATTGAATGTTGTAATTTAAAAAAATGAAATTATTACAAACTACCCTGTTAAAAAATATCATGAAGTCTAACATTCTCTCCACTCGTTTCAACATAAATGTGTTTTATCTTGTACTGTACATTACACTTCACAAAACGGGAGGCGCGGCTTTTGTTTTTCTAGTATTTTTTGCATAACAGTCAAATATTTTGTAAACATCTATTCTTGAAGCCCACTTTTCAACGTTACGGCTTACAATTGAGGAGTTACGTAATAAGAACGTGACTGGGTAAGTGAGCAGCGAACTTTATTCTATCTCTCTATACCACAAGTAACAAACTGGTATGGACAGACGGAATAGAGCGATAAATGAAGTGGAATTATTTCTCAATTTTTTTATACAGGGTAAGGGTGCTGGTGAAATTACACATGAGACTTCCACTCCACTTGTGTCTCAGGGTGACGGGCGCAGTGGCAGTGCCCTTCAGATCTTTGCAATTTAAAGCTCTGAGTGGCACTGCAACTGTTATGGACAGGCGTGTAGCTTATCATCAGGTGCACGACTTGTTCGTTCCGTCACATATTATTAAAAAAAATACACTTCTATTTAAAATTGAATTCCATTCCTGAGTCGTGCTCATAATAAAAGATGACGAAAAGCGATCGAGTACGGATGATATCCGGTCGTACGTCTGTTTGTCCGGTGGTAAAAAGCGGGCTTTCGGACTGTTGGTTCCACTCTTGGTCCCACTAGTGGGTCCAGTAGGATTTTGATAGTACTCATGTCCCCACAACATAACATGAGTGGAACTATTAAGATTTATGAATCATTTTGTCTCCACTCCTGTTGTAAAGATACTGTGCGTACAAGTGTACTGACAATTGAAATATAAGATGGCAGGCGAAATAAGCTGATGGAGGATTTTTATCAAATTTTTACCTTCTTTCACAATCTATCGATAAAATTGTCTATAACAACTACGTGACTATTTAAAATTTTACGAAAAGAAATTTCAAAAAAAGACCTACTATACATTACACAATTGAAAAGTTCATTATGCTGTGTACAATTTCACAATAATTCGCGTCCGTTCCTAAACTATGTAATGTAATGTTAATTCGACCCGTCACTAAACGAAAAGGTCGACTTTCGGGAAATGTCCTTTTCATTTAGTTAGCGGTATTCTGTTGCCGTTAGATGACAAAAACCTAAAACCGAGAAATTATGTTTAAGGAAATGAAATTAAAAAAGAAAATAACATAACGACCATGTGTACGAGTATGTGAGCCGGAGAAAAAAAAAGGTTGAATATAGAGATGCCATTGGTTCACAAAGATGCTCGTTCACAAGAATAAGCAAGCTACGGGTGGCCGCTACTGGCTGCGGGTGGCCGTTACTGGTTGCGGGTGGCCGCTACTGGTTGCGGGTGGCCGCTACTGGTTGCGGGTGGCCGCTACTGGCTACCGTTGCCTCAAAATCAAAAGTTTGTGGAATTACATCTACTTGCCAAGTTTTATTGAAATCGGTTAACGAAAAGTGGGTGAAATCCAATAAACCGGATTCATCCCTAATTTGCTGCCCGAGAGGTGGAATATTTTTTGCAAATTTCAATGAGACCACTAATGAGGTGCCATCTATCTAACAAAAAAAGAATAATCGAAATCGGTTATAAAATTAAATGTCGGCGTAATCGCGTAACATACACAAAGAAACAGTCGAATTGAGAACCTTCTTTTTTGAAGTCGGTCAAAAAGAAACCTTAAGGTAATGCTTCGACTTCGCTAATAGTAAGTAGGTATAGCGTTTTTATAGGAAAATGTATGTAGTTACCGTTCTGTTATATTAGTTATGAAATAAAGGGATTTTACTGAAATTCATCGGTTCTTTTACCCCCGACGAGGATTATCACGTATTTGGTCTGTGAGGATT